CTGCCAGTCTCGGCCACTGGACCCCCAAGCCCACCTGCCTCCGTGAGTACTGCTGGGTGTCATGCTGAGCCCAAGGGGGCACCCTGCCCGCACAGGGAGCAGGCAGGAGGGCTGCAGGCACGTCTCCACTCCCTCTTTTCCCCCAGCCTGCCACAGGAGGGCTGTAGGGCTGGTGGGCACCCTGTGACATGCTCTGGCCCTGCTCTTGCAGGGATCTGCCTGCGAGGCCGGATTGAGATCAGCGAGCGGGATATTACTGGGAGATGCTCCTCATCTTGCAGCACCCAGGCCCACCTGGGAGCCTTCCTCAACCATGGCTGCATCAAAATCTCAGCCTGTGTCACCAAGCACTCGGGCTGGGCCCGCTGGTTCCTGCGCTGTGACGTCTGCGAATGCGACTGCCATGTTCCATGTGGTGAGTCCCGGTAGCAGCTGCCCACCTTTGGTAAGGGTCTGCCTCACTGTTTCATGGAAGGGTTGGCACTGAGATCTGCGAGCTACCAAACTGCTCAAAATCTGTTCTTGCTCTCCTTACAGCTTCCTCTGGGTAGAGCTGGGCTGTCCGGGGCTGTGGCCACTAGCCGTATGCTGAGGGAGGCTTGCACCCTGGATGTCTGCTTCCCTTTGCCACCTGTCTCTATCGCTGCACTCCTTCCTCCTTCCATAAGCTCTGTCCATCCCAAGGCTGTCATCGGAGAGGAGACGTTCTGGACTCACTCCCTCTCAGGGCTGCCTTCTTGCCAAGCCCCATCCCATGACTCTCCAGTGGCAGGAGATGCTCTGTGAGCAACAGGCGTTTGTGTTTCCTGCAGCTGGGCTTGGGGACATTGGCGTCTTGGTCTCTGTTTGCCCGGCTGCTTCCTAGAGGAGGCTCATATCCCCTTTTAGGGAGAGGCAGCACATGTGCCTGTTGCAGAAGTATCTATCCCATCTGTGCCACAGGTTGTGATTTCTCCCAGCCAGGTATTTCCTGCACATGGCCTGAGAGGTAGATCTCTCTGTGCTTGTTGCAGCTGTCCCCTGCCATGGGCAGAGGTCTCAGGGCAGAGCAGCCTGGCCAGGGCTGCACCACCCATTGCTGGGGAATCAAATGTTACTGTAGGACAAACTGCCCCACTGCCTTCCTGGGAGCACTGGGGCCAGGACAGCTAACTGTGGGGGGAAAGTCTCAGCTCCAAGGTGCAAAGTCCACACACTGGCTGCAGAGCATGCTCTTTGCAGGGGCCTATGGTCTTGCCCTGAGAGCCCCTTTCCCCAGGGAATTTCTGGCAGCAGCTTGGGGCCACAAAGAGACATGGTAGTTAATGCCTTGCAGCTAAGATGGATAAGGAGTTATAAGAGGGGTGTCCTGAGCACAGCAGGGCCCAATTTGGTCCTGTAGCTGGAGAAAAAGACCTGGGCTGTGGGCCTACAATGACTCCCTTCCAGGCCCTTGAGAAGGGAGCTGGGGCTGTGGGCTCTTGCTGCCTACCGTGGGGCCTGCACAGCTGATATTAACATGGCCCTTGGTAGGAGCAGCCATGACGGGCACTGCTGTAACCTTGTGCTATGTCACCTCTCTTGGGAATGGGTTTCTGACCAGGCTCCCTTCCCTAAAGTCTGTTTTCCCCACTGGCCCTTCACTTCCCACTGGGGCAATGCTCATCAGGTTGCATTCATGCTGACACTGGTACCTGGCTCCAGGCAGGAACAGCCTTGTGCTTCCTGGAGACTGCCCTGGCTCCCTCTGAAGCAGCAATGGAAAAGCCAGAATTTTTATTCCCCTAGGGAAGGAGAAGGTGGTCTGGAGCACGTGTGACGGGATTGCCAGGGGAGCTGGAGGACCAGCAGCACCATCATTGGTAATTGAGAATATGTTTACAGGAAATGACACAGGTTTTCCAGTCATGCAAAGAGATTCTGATGTCTGTTCTGTCCCTGGAGCCCTGGACATACGGGACAGAGCCAGGACAGGCTCCCTCTGCCACTGATACTGTTCTGGATGTGTGAGCCACCACTGGGGGACAGCTATGGTCAAGGACACTGTAGGAAGGTCCTAGCTGGGGACCAGATGGATGCCGAAACATGCCCGTGGCACTGGCCACCAAGCCTTTCTGGGCCTTGGACTCCCATCCCTGCTGGCCTTCCACCTTGAAATGACTCTACAGCAGGATGCTGCAGCAGCTGCTGGTTGCTGTATGGCCACCAGCTTGGTCTCAGGAGCTCCCAACTCAGCCTCAAGCAGTTGAGAAGGAAGGGGCTTTAGCATCAAGGGGGTTTGCTCCCATACCTGGCTTGTGCCCACCTGCAGGAAAGCAGGGCTGGTTTGTGCTGCGCAAAGGGGGCCTGGGCTGAGACCTGCTAACGGTGAGTGCCCTTGGGATGAGAGTCAACATGCTGAATGCAGAGCAATCTGGATGGGTCTGGTGTGCCTTTTGCTCCACGTGGAGGTGACTTAAGAGCTTGGCTCCTCCACTAACTCCTTGGGCCCTCCTCCTGCCTAGCCTGTGGGCCACCCTGCCCCACAGTCTCTCCTCTGGCTGTATCCTGCTCTGCCCAGGAGCCAAATCACTGGCTGTGGGAGGGGAAAGATTTCCTTGGCTCAACAGATGGTTTTTTTAATTAATACTCTTGTTAGTGCGGCTCCTTTCCATATGTCTTTCATGTTTAAGTACTGTGGTGGGTGAGATGTGTGAGTAACAGTGAGGATGGAGCCAGGCCTGGTGCTGTAGAGGGTGGAGGTGCAGGGGGCTGGCAGGTCCCCCATGATGAGCTGCACAGGGGAGTGTGCCGGGGACAAAGCCCTGGGAAGAGAGAGAACAGCAAGGCCCTTTGTGGCCAGCTGTAACCCCACCAGCCCTGTCTCTTGATGCCTGGTTTGGGCTTCCCAGGCAGTCCTCTGCACTGCAGCCTGAGTTTCGACCAGCTTGTGCCCCCCATTGGGGTGGCTGTGCGGCGGTGTGGCCCCTGTCCCAGGTCAGTGCAGGGCTGCGTGTGGGGGCCAGGCACATTCCTGGTGGGAGCAGGCTAAGGGGCCGTTGGGCCCACGGGCTTTTGAGCTGAGGCGGCAAGGGTGGGAGCTGCGGTGGGCTCTGCCCCACCCGTGAACAGCAGCGGGGAGGGGGGCTGGGGGGCTGCGGAGGCAGGGCTGGCAAACACCAAGGGCTGGGGATGCTCAGGGCCTTGCGGGGAGAGGAAAGAGGGCTGGTGCCTTTAAGAGGATTTTTCGCTGCCTGGCA